TTTCCACAACACTGCCAGGAAGCACAAGCAAAGTGGAAGGAGCAAGGCCCTTTCCCTTCTCCTGCTTTCCATTTCTCTCTCTATTGGCAAAGCCTGATGAAAAGAAGCTGACAAAGCAGAACTAGAATTTGCAGAGTCTTCACCAAGCATCACAAAGCAGAGAAAAGAAAGGATTGGGAGCTAAGAGACAACTTATTAACTGTCACAGCCATGAAACACTTCCTTTCTGAATGAAATTCACAAGAACAGCCCATTTGGAAGACAAATTATTTGACAGTTCTGAGCAACAACCAAACTAATGATATTTGAAAAACAAGATGACTCAGAGAATACAGAATTTTATCCAAGTCCCAGATCTTATCTCAGTCTTTGGCCAAATCTGATATAAGGAGAACCTAAGCACACAAATAAGCAGCCCCTGTGCTTGCACAATCTTATTCATCCTTGACTCATTACAAAAACAGGTGCTCAATAAAGATTTGTGGATTAGGGAAGAAAGAGAGGGAGTGAAACAAAGGGAAGGAGCCAGTTCCAGATCTGTGTCTTGCACAGAATGAAAGCCCAGTGTTCCCAGATCATCCACTTCATTTTTTAAAACTCAAAACTCAAAATTTTAAAATACTAAAATTTTCAATTATTTTTTAGAAAATAGCTATGTATGTATATTTGAGAGTCAGGAAGACTGGAAGTTTGTGTCTTCTGAGGTATATCGGTCACCCCTGAATCACAGATTATCTCATTACTCTTAAGTCCATATACAGTAACCAAAGCCCCTGGAGTTTTGGAAATGTTTATCTAAAATTGCAACATTCTTATGGACCCTGGCACTAAACCCGGATTGTGAAGAAAAGGGTTTTAGAACACTTATCACAGAAAAACAAAAACAAACCCATTCCTGTTGAGTCAATCCCCACTTGTGGAAACCCCATGTGTTATAGAATAGAGCTGTTCCATAGGGTTTTCTAGGCTGTAATCTTAAAAAAAAAAAAAAGGTAGGTCACAGGACTTTCTTCTATGGAGCCACTGGGTGGGTTCAGACAGCCAAAATTTAGGTTAGCAGCCGATTGCAGATCACTTGTGCCACCCAGGAACATTTATATTCAAAATGTGAGTCAATGAATCACATATATAGAGACCAGAAGACTATGTTAGGGAGTCCTCTACTTCAGTTACAAATTATATTCCATTAAGAAATCCTAGGGGGCAGCTCTCTTCCACCGGGTTCCTCCGTCAGTATCTCTCACCTGTGTGTACTACCCAAGTGGATTCACTCACAATCTTAGAGGAACCCCTTCTTCCTTGAGCTTCCTTTCTATCCACCCCCCAGGATCCCTAGGATTCTCCTGTCCCTTATGCTGTCATTCCAGAGGCCATGTCTTCTACTTCCCTGCTGAATAGGGACCTAGGGCTTGACATCCTAAGGCATGAACAAGGGGGAGAAGGGTAGAAAGGTCCCCCAGTTGACTATCCAGAATCTTCCACGCTGCCCAGAGTCATAATGCCATGAGCATTTCCTTATGTTTCCCGGTATGGTATATGCTACCCTAGAGAAAAGGAAAGAGAACAATTGGATCAGGCCAGCAACAGCTTAAGTCACTCTAGCTTGCTAACATTTATGGTTAATATCCTGTTGCTCCGTGGAACATACATTCATTCACATCTTATGGCCTCCAGAGCCAAAAATTTGGCTTGTATTCCTCAGCTGTTTTCATGTAACATTTGTTTTTTCTCATCTTGTTATTTATAACCTGGGTCTGAGAAGTCTTTTCTTAAATTTGGGTTATGTTAGTACTTAATAATCCCTAACAGTTCATTCTGGACAATGAACTGGACACTGTAATCACATGAAGAGGTTTCTAAAAATACTGATGAGATCTTGTACCATACTAATCAAATTGGAGTATCTGGAAGTAAGGCTGGGGTATTAACTTTTTTTTTTTTTTTT